TTTTCATCTTTGATTAAACAGTTCAGTTTGCACATTTTTTTTATACATTCGGTATGATCTTCGTAGTATTCCAAAAAGATACACTGTCGAAGCTATATGATGATTCTTTTTAGCCACGTTGGAATTCGCGATAATAGCTTGTTAATCGAACACATATTATAACGGTGCCTACGTTATGATTGATTCCTGGTAAACTATGTAATCATGTAGATAGATAGTAAATCCTCTTCAATGTGAGCAGCATCGGAAACTGACTAAAAGTGCCGAGTTTATAGTGGTGCTAATGACTGAGAAGTTTTCAGCTACTTTTTTTCAGATGATAAGTGTTTATTTGCAATCACTTTTCGACTGCATTAGCTGATCTTTTTCTTCTTTCAACAACTTATTAATTTAATATTTTGAATTGAAGGTAAATCAATATGTGTTGTCATGATTTGATGTTACTAGCTTTCAACACAAAAGAAGGAGATACTTCACCAAACACTGTTGTTATTGTCTAAGGACTTTTTCTATTTAATACGTGCGATTAATTCATCTTCTTCTTATACCTGTTACTTGATTGCTAATCACAATTCAATATGCATAGTACCATTTTCGGGTGTGGATGTGTTTGGATGTTGGTATGATTGTGGTTGTGGGTGTGGATGTGTGGACGTCAGAGTCTATTCTCTGTTTTCCCACATCCCACACTTATCCATACCAACACCCACAAATTCAAACTCTACATCCACACTCTCAACAGTTGGTTTTCTTTAAGATATCCATTTCTTATAAAGTACGTGCCATCTTACTTTTAAGACATTCACTTTTGTGCGAACTGTGCGTGGATGATCAGGAGAGTATGAAAAATGTATAGGTCTGTGTTCTTGATCAATTTTATACTCAAATCAATTGATCGTTGTGGAATTATCCCATCTAAATCAAGATCAATTTTTGTTAGTGCAACATCATCGTCATATTTTTTTACAACTTTTTGTATGCCGTTACTTTTCTCCTTTTCCCAATTTATGAAAAAAAAAATTTTTGAACCTGATCGTACATGGTTTTTTTAGAGAATTTCAAGCACTAAATTTTGTAAAAAAGATGTTCCAGTCAAATGAAGAATAGAGGAGAAATTTTGAAAAAATTGAGAGTGCTATTCTTTATAGCTCACTCGTTACAAAGTGATCGATTTATTCTGAGTTATCTATTAGATAACGGCTTGCACGACTCAATATTTTCTTTCATACTGCCATTGAATACATTTTCTTTCACACTGCCATTGAATACATTTTCTTTCACACTGCCATTGAATACATTCTCTCCTTGAGTGATCTTATCGAGTCTAAAAAACGTTAATAATGCTGAATTTTAATTGTGCACTAAAGTCGTTTCCATTCGAACTTAAATCGAAACCATTTTTTAATAGATTTAAATTGGAAATCCAGAAGACAATTGCATGCAAAATTTTCGTTAATATTTTCTGAGAGCGTACATTATATCTATCATTCAGCTAGTATTGTGAAGTTATACCCCTTACCTGTTGGCTGATTGCTCACTATGGATGAGAATAGGTGAAGATTCTTTGAGTGAACGTGCAAGTTAACTATACGTTTGCCACGGATATATGGCATGAGTAGTCCTTTATTGGTTCTTTTCCATACGAGTAATTCACCCCGAGGATCAATTAAGTCGCTTTTCGTCCAAAACGATACATTCGGGTGCCAATAGTCACCTCCAAAATATTGACCTATCGTACGAGCATCGAAAATAATTGGTTCCGCACTGTCAGTGGTGGTACATAGGCAACAGTTGCTACTATTGAATTCCACAGGCAGTGCTGAAATACCATATGATCTTGGGTTCTCGGGTGTAGTAGCGAACAGATCAAGATATCGACCACCAATGGTCATGTCATTGATCCATTCCGTTTTCAAATAGTCCATGGCTCTCTTTCGGCCTAGACGAAAGACTTCAATGGTATAACGAAG